TTAATTTAATTTAATTCATTTAATTTAATTTAATTTATTTTTTTAATTTATTCATACAATACAAATTACACAACTACACTATAACACATCATAAACCACTGACATAGACATAAGGCAATAAAAGGACTTCTTAATTCATTAAGCATTATTGTTTAAGGGCACGTGGTTAAATCAAACTTGATGCAAACCATGTTTTGATAGTCGTCCTCGTCCATACCCTAACCAAAAAGCATTTTTCTTGTCGGCAGAATTTCGTATAGAATCTTTAATTGACAACACTGTGATTTGGAATCTATAACAGCTTTATAAATTGGATCATACACCTATCTCCATGGCAACAGGATATCCAATATCCCCTCCCAGTTTTATCTTATTTTATTTTTACATCGTAATTGGGATGTAGGAAAGATATCACCATGTTGTTTGTTGGGGTCAGTCCTTTCTCAAAACTTTCCAGTACATGGCATTTACATTATATGATTAAATTCTCTTCTAAGATATGTAATATGAAAGGTATTGTGCATGCTTTAAACTGGTGATGCTTAGTGTGTGTACAAGACAGAAATTCTGTTTAACCCTCCCTTGAAATTGTGTTAAACCTGCTCAGACTTTCTGATGTCCCACTGTCCCCCACGTGTGTTAAAGTGTATATTTTGAAAGGCTTAAAATGAACATAGACTTTTGAAATCTTAGTACAGTATAGTTATGACTCAAACTGAAACAATATATCTACAAATTTGATCACTTATCTCCCTCTCTGCCATAAAACGTGTTCACTGCACTTCCCCCCTTTTTGAGGAGGACAAATATGAATCACGGGGTCTTAGCAGGATATTGACAATGTACCTGTGATATGACATTATTACAAAATATAATTAAGTTCATTCATTTTCTGTATCCACTGGAGCCTATCCCAGCTGACATTGGGTGAGAGGCGGGGTTCACCCTGGACAGGTCACCAGACTGTCACAGGGCTGACACATAGAGACAGACAACCATTCACACTCACATTCACACCTACGGACAATTTAGAGTCACCAATTAACCTGCATGTCTTTGGACTGTGGGAGTAAGCTGGAGCACCTGGAGGAAACCCACGCTGACACAGGGAGAACATGCAAACTCTGCACAGAAGGAACCAGGAACCTTCTTGCTGTGAGGCAGAAGAAGTGCCCACTTGTCCAGAGATCATAAACTAAAATATAAAATGCCCCACCATTCATGAGAAAGTGCAGGAATATCAGCTTTGGTTTTGATGTCCATCAGACACCTGTCCTCAGAAACTAGAATCCAGGTCGGGGTGCTGCACCGAGCAGGATTACTGAGTTAGTCCAGTAACTGAATATTTATAATCAATACGTCTGACTTCTGTGTGTGTGCAACAGATAGGAGGTTCTCTCCAGCAGAGAGCTGCAGCCTGGACGGAGGAGGCGGACGCCACCAGAGGACCCGAGGCCAGACGACCCACTTCAGCAGACAACTCTGTGAGTTGAAAGAAATCAGTCGTGTTTGCTGAATTATTCAAGCCGGGCCGGGGCCGTGTTGCATTTGAATCTTTGGAAACTCCAAGAATATGCTGCTGGACTGAGTTATTATCTGTCTGAGGGGAATGGAATGAGGGGAGCTGTTTGGTCTCATATCTTGTGAGATCGATAACAGCATTTGAAGCTGTCAAAACTTTGTTTTAAAGTGTCTGAATTCATAAAACAAACATTATGTGAGTGCATATTGTGATGTGGTGTTGTCTGCACCATGAAATTGGTAACACTGGTACACACAGTGAATTCTTGTGTTGATATTTTTGTTACCATGGTGCCCTCTGCTGGTTGGAGCCTGATCTAATTTGAAACCATCAGCATGCTGTTAGAGGGAAGCTGAGAAGGAGGATTAAAGACACATCTGAAATAAAAGAAAGGAGATTACAGACTTTCTAGCAAAAAGGAAATCAATAAGTGATTGTGATAACGCTGTACATATTTTCCTTTCCACATCTGAACCTTATATATCATCTGAGTCCTCAGCACGGCTCTACGTGTCAAGACAGTGGGATTAAAACACAATGGATAATTCACAAACTGAAGCCATATGGTTCTTTGTATGCAGGCTGCAAATTACCATTCACGTAAACAACAGACGCCCCTGAGATAAACCCTGTCAGTTTCAGTCTGTTCCTCACTGGAAGGTGACGTGCCAGCGAACCCCACAGATCCCACGTCCTACTGTAATAACAATCGGAGGATTAATGTGGATTCTGTTTGTTTTGGTTGGACGTGGGATTTATCCTTTGCTTTAACAGAGAGAAGCCTGTGAGCTGCTTCAGACTTCAGCTGTGCGTCTGCTGCAGTCACACATTATAAACACTGAAACATACTGTATATGAAACACACCTGAGGCTTATGAAGTTTGTCGCAGTACTTTCTGGTTGTTTGTACCTGTGCATGTAATGTGTTGGTTGCACAGGTGAGGATGAAGGAGGAGGAGATGAGGAAGAGCAGAGAGGAGCTGACCCTTGGCAACATACCATCAAGAGGTGAGAGCTTTATTCCAAAACCTTGAATTCATTTTAAGTTGAGGTATTACTTAACTGCAAGGGCATAGGTTTTGTTTTTACTTTGGGGGGGACACATATGGAACAAGGGGTTTGGAGTCAAATTTCGAGCATCCATCTGTTTTCATCCACTTATCTGGGGCTGGGTCACTGGGGCAACAGGCCAGACGTCCCTCTCCCCAGCATCTGGTCAGGATCCCCCTGGGTGCCTCCTGTTAGAGGTGTTCTGGGCACGTCCCACTGGTAGGAGACCCTAGGGTAGTAGTAATGCTGGGGGGATTACATATCTCATCTGGACTGGGAACACCTCAGGGTCCCTCAGGAGGAGCTGGAAATTTTGAGCATCAAATACTTAATTTCTTGCATTCTGGTGATTTTTTTTTTGCACCAATTTGTGCATTTTCTGAATCAGTTTTTGTATTAATGTCTTTAATTTTGTCAAAATAAAAGTCCTTTGCTACTTTTTTGTTTTTACCCTGAAATGTGCCACTGTTCTTTACTGATGCCATACAATGGTACAACGCACAATGGTATCAATCGACACGTTCTGCAACCCAACCCTCGAAGGGTATCTCGGGGGAACTTGCCCCCTGGGGAAATTTTAGAAAGTTGACAGCCAAACTGAGCATTTTCAGGCTGTCCTCACACACTGTTCATACGTCTTCCTATGAAAAGTAATGCACCAAAGTTCGTTCAGCTCACACTCCAGCTACGTCAGCTGATCTAAAACAGCCCGATCAACTGATGGAGCAGCTGATTGATGGAAGGGAGTCAGCTGATAGATCACATGATTCCTTTCTATGCAACCAATTGGAAAATCTCATTCAGGGCGCCCTATTTAAACTGCTCTGGCCTGCCTACTGTTGCTGCTTCCTTTCAAAGTTGTTTTGCAACCCACCTCCACCCCAGCTCCTCCTTATCATCTTGTGTCTGACTTATCAGTGCCTTATCAGTATCAGTGTTTTGTATTTGCTGCTGCTCTACCTACCATAGGCTTTCCATGTAGGCACATGAAAGGGCAGGGAAGTTTGCTCTCTCTGTCTCAGGCTTTCCTTGTTGTGTGTGGAAGGGCAGAGAGGTGTGCTCTCTCCACCTTAGGTTTTCCACATAGGCGCATGGAAGGGCAGAGAGGTGTGCTATCTCCACCATAGGCTTTCCACGTGAAGCATGGAAGGGCAGAGAGGTGTGCTATCTCCACCATAGGCTTTCCACGTGAAGCATGGAAGGGCAGAGAGGTGTGCTCTTTCCACCATAGGCTTTCCACATAGGCACATGGAAGGGCAGGAAGGTGTGCTCTCTCTGCCTTAGACTTTCCATGTAGGCACATGGAAGGGCAGAGAGGCCCCAGAACAGAGCCATACCACCAAATATAATACTGCAAATGGAAAAAAACATTTCCTTTGACTAAAGTGGTCCTGACAAAAATAATAATAATGGCAATTTGTGAAATTCATTCAAGATTTTGATTACATGTACTAATGATTACAGTATTTCGGACAGCAGTGCATGGCTGCCTGTCATTGCATACTATTTTTCTTTAGTTCTTTTTCTTTTCTTCATATATTTTATCAGAATACAGAGGGGTATTCTAAGGCCATCTTAATATTGGGGGATGTGTCCCTCCCATACATATTATAATTACTGCCTTGGCTTCACATATTGTCATGTTATGTTTTCCCCAAAAGTATTTCTGTGATATTCATCATTTGCAGCCCATAATGCCTCTGTCTGCACATCAGTCCTCATTTTGCCTTCACTCCACCACCAGCTTTATCACTCTTTAAGCCTTTTATCTCCATTTCTGTCCCTCCCTTCATAATTTTTGCACATCACACACTTTCACACCTCCTCATTTGTACGTTTCTGTGCAGAAAGTCTGCATAATTACTTGGCTTGCTTATCTAGAGTAAAAATAGATAAAGTAACGATGTATCTAAAACAGACAATAAACAATCTCCAGAATATTAAATAGGATTTATCCTTGCATTCCTCTCTTGCACCTCTGAATCATGGCACGCAGCAGGCTTGATGGCCCACATGCACTCGACAGAAAAACAATGCCACCCTCTTTGGTGTAATTCAGTGACTTGCCTCCCCTGCCACCCAAGCAAAAATAATTATGCATAGAGTAAGATATTTAGCAGTCAGCTAACCCTCTGAGTTATGAATTCCAGGGCCATAATTAAAGAAATAAATCCTAGCCGCTTATATTTTTTAATTAATCATTTCACCAGAGATCATTCTCTGCAATCTGAGCTGGTTTATCATCAAACAAACTGTCTTCTCTGCACTTAAGTGTTTTATTTGTCATCTTTCCAGCGCCGTCTCCCCAGGGAAGCATTTCTCGCTCTACAGGAGGAAGATCCACAAGAGCGCGGGTGGCCCACCAGCCTGGTGGCTCCAACCCCACCCTGCTGGCTTTCAGCAGGGGAGAGATGATCACTGTGCTGGTTCATCAGCCCAGGAACGGCTGGCTGTACGGACGTGCTGATAGCAGTTCACGGTGAGTAATGTTCCCCAGTGAGTGTGTGTCTCGCTATCTGTTATGACCCATTGTAAATGTGTCTGTTGCTCAAGTACAAAATGTAGTAGCTGCTGTACTCTCTGCTTCATGCTGATACCATTCAGTGGTTCTACTGACAAACACTTTTTACGTTTAATGTTCTGGACACAGGTCCCCTTTTCCTGAGTAAAAATAAACCACTGAGAAAAACAGATAGAAGCAACAATTTGTAATGAATAAATAAAATAAAACAGCATGAGGAAATAAACAGAAATAAAATAAAAGAGAAGAACATATTAAAGGCTGACACAACAAACAGAGAAGCAAAATAAAACATTAAATAAGACAAGGCTAAGAGTCCAAGGCAAACTCAAAACAACTTACGTTTTCAACCTTTCAACATTTGCTGCCTTCACTCATCTTTGCGAGGAAGCAAATCAAGTTGCAGCGACCTCACACAGGTCAGGTGTACGCAGGGGTGTTACTAGGATTTGAGCAAATTGGGGTCTTAGCCTTTTTTTTTTTTGATAAACAAGTTCATTTTTGATGTTTTTATGCACTGTGGCCCCTGATTTACATTCTATGTACAAACAAAATTCCCAGTGTTATGCAGTTAACCTTTAACATGAATCAGAAAGTGGTTGGCTGCCCAGCACCCTATGGAGGGCAAGATTTGGCCTCAACTTGAGTATCACTGATCTACAGCCATGTGAGCAGCTCTGTGAGGCTGCCCTGGATCACAACAGTGGTTTGAGCTAAATGCTAACATCACTGTGACAATACTTACGTGTTGATGATTAGCGTAATGTTTTGTATGTTTACCATTTTAGTTTTAGTTAGCTAACATTTGCTAATTAGCGCTAAGCAAATAATAAATCTAAGTATTGGATTTGCTTGAGGAAAAGTTAGAAGATCACTAAAGTCAGAGGGGTTCATCCTCTGAGGAACATGAACCTCTGTACAAACGTTCATGGCAATCCATAGGAACAGGATCCTGGACCAGGGGCGTAAATAAAGACAGTGCAGGCAGTGCGGTTGCCCTGGGGCCTGTGAGGTCGTGGGGCCCATGGAGAGAGTAGGCCCTCCAACAATGAGTGATTGCCACTTTGAAAATACCTTTTCCATCATGTATATTTTTTCGTAAAATTCAATAGCATCAAAAACAAAATTACATGTTATTCTCTAACTATAAATCAACAATTACAATTATTTTTCTTTGGTATTTTTGTCACATACAGATATGCATTGATGATTGCTGGGTAATATGTATGTTGATGTTATCCAGTGTCAAGTCTCTGATCGTGTGATGAGATGCTATGTGCACGATAGCGTACACTGGGCCCATCGTAACTACCGTAAGCCACTGGTCTGGACCAAAGTGATATATCAACTGGCCGAGAGACTGACCGATATTTCCCCATGCTGTAATGATCTAGTACAAAACTGGGACTCAGTTGCAGAGGAAAACACAAAGCACCAACAACAGTTTATCAATTCTAAATCTTTACTTACGAGGTCAGGGGTCAAACATGAAGGCAGTCAGCGAAGGCAGAGAAGTCCATTCAGGGAAATCACACAAAAAACAAAGTCCATAAATCCAAGCAGAGTCAAAAACCAAGGAATCAAAAACAAAGGAAAAAGGCTGAGAAAACACAAGGGCAACAATGACAATCTGGCAACTGCATGAGGGAAACACTGGGCTTTAAATACACAAGGGCTGATTACTAACTACACACAGGTGAGTGGAAGGAGACACAGGTGAAACACATGAGGTAATTAACCAAAGGGGGGAAACTCAGGAAGTAAAAGAAGCACCAAACACAATGAGAACACATTTCAAAATAAAACAGGAAGTGGACACAAACACATGAGCATAAGCTTAATATAATATCACACATTCAGCTGTGTGTTTTTGTTGTTGCTAATTTTTCATAACATGCTTCATGACATAGAGTAACTGTCATCTTTAATTTCTGCCTCCTCTGTTTTCAGTCAGGGATGGTTTCCAGCCGACTTTGTGGAAGCAGTGGACGATCCTCCAAAGACAAGCAGCGCTGGGTAAAGATGCAATAAAATGTATTCAGGAAGTATGACTGTTAAATAACATTATGACATGCTAAGTTCAGGCTATTAAAGACATGTACTGTCATATTTTACTGACTCACGTCCTGGTGAAAAATCAAGGTTTTCAGCATTTGAATGCAAGATGCATCCACCATACTGTAAATGTGGAGCTACAGTCAACAGCTGGTTTGTTTAGCTTAGCATAAAGCATAAAACAGACAGCCCTGATCCGTCTAAAGGTAACAAAATCCACCTCTAGCACCTCTACAGCTCATTAAATCCCTGTTTCCACCAAACACTTTCAGTATGGTACCTTTGGAACCAGAAGTAACCCTTCAGACATGGTGCCTAAACAGTACTATTTCATGTCACTCACTTAGGCTGACCAAACGTCCTCGGTTGCCCGGACATGTCCACTTTTCATGTCCTGTCTGGGGCGTCTGGGGGGGGTGTTTATAAATTGATGATAATGTCCAGTTTTCCTTGTGTGTGTGTGTGTGTGTGTGTGTGTGTGTTAGAGTGCGGCACGGGCCGCATATTTCTGTCCGAACCCGACAGTCATTCTGTTTTGTTATGTCCGAAACCGAAACCGAGCCCGACATTCTTTAATTACTAAAGCACTGAGTTTGTGTCACACAGTTGTTATGGTTACAGGCCGGGCGTGCGGAGACCTCCGTGTTTGAGACGGGAGCGGGAGGCGGGAGGTCCGAGGATTCCAGCAAGGGGAGAAGGAGAAACAAACAGCCAATGTGTGTCTGTGTGTGTTATGTTCAGGAGATGTCACGTAAATAACAGTCCCCAAGCAATAAACAGGACAGACAATAGGATTTTATTTATTTTTACACTACATTTTCACTGAAAGCTGACCGAATCCGACCCGAGCCCGAATACAATTTATACATTTTTGACCGAACCTGGCCGACCCGTCGGGTAGGCCTACCGTTGGGGCCCGTTGGGCTCGGATCGCCACACTATAGTGTGTGTATGTGTCCCCTATCTATTGGGGCCTATCTGAATTTCTGTCTTTGAGAGACATTATTTTGTAATATAACTGAATTTTCTATCCATACATATAAACTTTAAGTATATTAAGATTATAAGGCATCTTTGAGTAAACTGATCATTTAAGTAGGTCATTTAAATAGGCTATCTTGTGGCCGGGCCAAGTGTCCTTTTTTTTGGAAATCAAAATATGGTCACCCTACACTCACTGCTCCGTCCAGCAATGACTGTATTTGCTCCTTTATCAGTCTGCACCTGGTTTATCGTCCACAGAACGAGGCTGCACGCCCACATTTTCAAAACAAAACAGAACAGGCTGCAGAAAAAAAAAATAGCAGCTTTGTGCATTTAAGTCCTTCTCAGGCAAGCTCAGGGGTTTAGTGTTGCTGGAGCCCACAGGAACGATGTTTTTTTTTTTTCCTCCAATGAGGATTGGGATATCGGCAGTTCACATAATCCGGTTGAAATTAATATATATTTTGAAACGCTTGAAGATCCACTTATTATTAAAAGTCCCTGTCATCCAAGAAAGACAATAAAAAGTGATGGTCAAAGTTGTCACAGTGAAATTTAAGGTGTGCTGATGGATTCACGTTTTTCTCAGACTCCAGCTGCTGTGAGAGGCAGCAATTTCATTTTATAGTTACAGTTCACTAATAAAACTCTCCACAGTATGAACAGTGGTTACATGAGCCTCAAAACCAGACACAACTCAGCCCTGAGCAGAGTGACCGTCCTCTACTGACCAATCAGACTGCAGTGTTCACAGCTCCACCTTTTAGTACCAGATCTGTGTGCTAGGTACCCCAACAGAGGGGGGACCAAAAATGGGGACGCTAAGGAACGGTTCATTGGTACCATCCACAACTTTTCACAGTGGAAACAAAAAAAAGCGTACCAAACTGAACTCTCTGTAATTTCTCTCTGTAAGAGTCTTGTTGTCATTGTGAAGCTGCCAGACAACTAGCGCAGACTTTAGGAAATTACCAAAGTGACTAAGCATATCATTCACTGTTGTATTATTACTTTAATAGCCTCAGTCTAACACGTTACAGAGAATGTATTGATTATATATGATTTGTAGAGTTTATTGGCTATCACAGGAAGTGGTTTGAACCTTGAACGTAGTCCAAGTGTTTGGTGCAGAATATATTGTGCAGCTCCCTCAGGCTGTCCTTATTGTTTTATGAGCCCAAAACTTTTAAAAGAGGGTCAGCACGAAGCTCAGGCCTGGAATAATAACATGAACTATTTAAGATATTTGGGTGACCCATTGCTGTGAGGAAAACCAGTGAGAGGTTTGAAACTAAAACTCTGCTCAGTCACTGTGGACACAGGTCACAGCTAAATGCCTAAAATGTGAATGTAGATCAACTCTGCTTAAAAGAGATAGAAAACATGATTTAGCTCAATTTTTTTGTGTTTAAATCTAATCCTCTCTAAGTGTGAGGGACAGTGAGCATTTCAAGACTGAGGAGAGCTCAGGTGTCAAGTGAAAATAACAGATACTCTATAAAGAAAACAAACTTTTTGTCATTTCAGTGGCTCCTCTCATCGAAGCAACAGCAGCATTAGCAGCATGAGCAGCCTGCTCAACCAATCGGGGAGCAGCAGCCACAGCGCAGCCCCGCCCCCTCCACCTCCACCGCCTCCACCTTCAAATAAACAGTACGAGATGAGACCAGTTGCACCGACTGCTAACAATAGGAGTTATGAGTCTAATTCAGAAAACAAGGTATGGCTATCAGCCAGTCTGTCTGATTATCAATTAATCAATCAATTCTCTCTTTTTCTCTCTATCAAAAGAATATCAGTAATTTTTGTTAAACATGTTCTACAAATGGACATCTTGGGGACTACTTTCTAATACTACTTTCCTTTATATTTGGCAGTGATACTGTTTTAAACATTGGTTAGCAGTTCATAAACACACATAAGGCCCGTTTCCACCACAGGAACTTCAGGGTAAATTTACGGGGCCGGGGCCGTTGGTGCGTGTCTCCACCACAGGGGCTAAACAAGTCCCTGCCTCGGGGTAGGTACTCAGAACGGCCCCGAAAAACTCCTGGCTGGGGCTTGGGGATTACTTGGTGCTGATTGGATATACTCAAGGCGGGATGTGACGTCAACAGAAAGCAACAAAATAGCCGGCATTTTAAAAACTCAGCAGACGAGGGTTAGCTCGTTCATAGCTTCCACTGCCATGTACACAAACTCAATAAATGGTCCGTGAAAAACATATTTTTTCCGGCGGATATCTTAGTTACAACATGATTAAGCTAGCAAAGCAGTTTTGTGTTGCTATGTGTGGTATTTATTCAGTTTTGGGAAATCACGATGTCTAGAAAGCATCAGCTGACAGGGACAGCTTACAGCAGCAGCAAAGCTAACATCAGGACGTCATCTGTTAAAAGCCTCCCATTGTCGGATACGACATGAAACTACTCCAGTTAGCTCAATCATAAGACATCCGCTGGAAAAAATATTTTTTTCACCGGCCACTTTGTGAGTTTAGTGAGTTATTACAGACACTGCTAACAGCTAACAGTGTCCCTACGCCCCTACGTCGCCCTGGTCAAAATGGTCGCGCAACGATCACGTCACATCCAGAGCCCAGTAACTTTACAGGAACCTTCCTCCTACTCCGCTCTCTCAGTGGAGACACAATGGTTGAGAGGGCCGAGCGAGAGGACGTTCCTGTAGTAGTTCCTGCCCCGCAGATAGTACCAGGAACTTCTTCAGTGGAAACGGGCCTATAGGTTTTTCACTTCCTAATAAATCAATCTTATTCACATTCTCATTTACAACTCGTCGAATACTGACGCTTGGTCAGTGGCCTGCTAGGTACCCCTCCTATGTCAGTTTTGGATGCTCAGGGACAGCATGTCAATTAATACTTGTCACATGCATTATGTGTTTTTTAACTTGTCTTGAATCAATACATTTGTTGCTAGTGTAATAGTAGAGTTGGAGTTGGAGATGAGAGTCAGCCGCTACATCTGAGGCCGTGGTTCTCTGCCTGAAACTGATGGACTGCCCCCTCTGGGTTGGGAGTGTGTTACTACCCCAAGCGAGGGAGTTCATCTGTCAGTTCACGAATGAGATTAAAATGGAGCGTGAGATGGATTGGCGGTTTGGTGCGGCTTCTGCAGTGATGCAGGTGCTGTGCCGGACCATCATGGTAAAGAGGGAGCTGAGCCAGAAGGTGAAGCTTTTGATTTTCTGGTCCATCTACGTCCCAACTCTCACCTATGGTCATGAGCTCTGGGAAGTGACGAAAAGGACGAGATCATGGACACAAGCCACCAAAATGAGTTTCCTCTGTGGGGTGTCTGGGCTCAGCCTTAGAGATAGGGTAAGAGGTTCGGACATCTGGAGGGAGCTTGGAGTAGAGCCGCTGCTCCTTTGCCTTGAAAGGGGTCAGTTGAAATGGTTCAGGCATCTGATCAGGATGCCTCCTGGGTGCCTCCTGTTAGAGGTGTTCTGGACATCCCACTGGTGGGAGGCCCCGGGGCAGACCCAGAACACACTGGAGGGATTACATATCTCATCTGGCCTGAGAACGTCTTGGGGTCCCCCAGGAGGAGCTGGAAAGTGTTGCTGGGGAGAGGGACGTCTGGGGTGCTTTGCTTGGCCTGCTGCCCCTGCAACCCAGGTCCCAGGGGGAAGTCTGGAGATTGCCTGACACACCCACCTCCCCTTCCACTTGCTCCACGCAGACTTTCTCACTCTTTATACTACTGTAGTTACCCACAGCGTCAAAAACTGCTGCTGCCCAGTGCGTCTCATACTGATGCTAAAGGGTGCCTGCAGTATTTGATGAGTTGGGAGTGAGACCGGTTGGCAGTTGCAGTGTTAATAAGCTGTTAATAAATTTGGATTTTGTCCCAGAAATAGTCAGATGGTTTAGGCTTATTTACTGACCCATAAAGCATTAGCAAACGATTCATTAACTCTAAATAAAGCCATTTTGTTACAGCTTATAGTTCCTTTAAAATGGAGCTTTATTAAAAAAGTGTTACTGTGCCACATTGGGTTTGCTTTTTAGCTATTCTGTTGGTATATTACAATACATTACAGTGTCCTGATGTCAGTATGTAAAGGTGAGATGATATGGGACAGTTCTCATAAGACGTACTTTGTAAACGTTTGATGGTGTTTCCCAGTCCGTCCAGCAGGGGCACTGCGGCAAGGTGCTGTTCTCCATGGCTCCACACCCGTCTTTCTGGTGGATGCAGGGAGGAAGCTCCAGCTGCTGATAGTGTATGGGCGAGGAGTTTGAGTGCATATGTGTGTGTGTGTGTGTGTGTGTGTGTGTGTGTGTGTGTGTGTGTGCTCCTTCTTTGGCATGCTGTAACTTAAGACTACTAGACTGAAGACCTATTTCAAGTCCTTGTGACTCAATAGGTCTGGTGCATAACCTTTGAGGTGCTGCAGTGTGAGAATACTGTCAGTGTCTTTTCTCTTCAAGGCTGCTCAGGCACACAGTGGTCTGAATGGCATTTCTGTAAAGGAATACTTCACCCTTGAAATGAACATTTGTGTATCAGTTACTCACAACATTTTATTTCGAATATGTGAAGACAACTCTACTTTTCTCGCATACCTCGACAGTGAACGAAAACTGAGAAAATTCTTGATGAATTGAAGTCATAGGGGTCCACATTTAACAACAGCAAAACTGTATCAAAAGACCCTTTTGCAAACGCTCACACAACTCGTGCAGTATAATCCAAGTCTCATTTATCCAGTCATATGCTCAGTACCTCCTAAACAGGCAGCCCTTTCTGATGGGAATTGAAGAGAACGTGAAACTTAACGATGCTCTCACATTGACAAAAACCTCACTGAGCACAGAACCTGTTAGTCCTAATTCACATTACATGATTTTCACCGTGATTTTGACGTCGCAGAGGATCTTGAGAGCCACCTTGGGTCGGAGGTGAGTCGGCAGATAGTCTGCCACGACGAGTCCTCATGTGTGGAAAAGCCTACGAGCAAGTCGCCCCCTCGTCTGTGACTGGGACTGGATATTTGGCATGCTAGAAAACTGGAGAAGTGTGACACGACTGACAAAGAGCATCAGCCAATGAGAGGCGGGATACATCCCACGTCAGCACACAGGAGGACAGAAGAAATGTGAGGAGGACAAGCCGCAGGGTTGCCAGGTCCACTTATTAGCCACAACTTTGGGCTTGTTTCTAAAGTGGAGTTGCTTATTTGGGCTTGCTCTGTAAACGCCACCTTCCTCTATATATATCTGTCTTATAAGTTATTTAAACACATGATAGTCGCTTCTTTTGGGCTTGTTTCCATAGCCCTGGTTGCTTGTTTCTCTCCCAAGATCTGGCAACACTGACAAGCCAGCAAGCAACAACAACAATGGCGGCGTCCACAGGATCACGGGGAGCGCGTTGTGTTTGGACCCAGGATAATAAAGAATATCCATGCCTTTACGATGTGTCGTCTCTAAGTTTGGTGACGTCACCGCGTTATCTGGGGCTCTGTCGGCGAGGGCTCGGTGGAGAAATCTTGTGGTGTGCACACACAGGTCGTAACACAGTTGGCGAGACTCCCGATGACAGAAACACACGTCGCCAGGTATGAACACTCAAAAGATTACGACAGTCTCCGTGAAGCAAAATCAGGGTGAAAAATCGGCTTAAATCTACCGCTGTCAAGATTGGAAGTTTGTTTGTGTTATTGTGTGACTTCTGTGAATCTGAATTAACCCTTTAAAACACCAAAGTCACACAATAACACAAACTAACAAACAAATCAAGGTAGCGGTACACCAGCGACTCCTGTGTTCAACAAGGTAAAATTACGGTTTTTGTCAATGGAGTTTGGCTTTGAAGAGAGCACAGATAACTTTTACTTTTGGTTCAGGTCCCCGGCTGTCTATTTGGGAGGTACTGAGCAAATGACTGGATAAATGAGACTTGGATTATACTGCACAGGGTTTGTGAGTTGGTACATGGATGCTTTGATATGTTTTGTTTAACATGGGGTGAGTAACTGATAAACAAATGATCATTTTCGGGGTGAAGGATCCCTTTAAGGGACAATAATGAGATATTCAGTTCACAATAGCCCAAAGTGACCCCCTTTTTTTTTTTTTCATTATGACACTGATGCATTTTCCTTGATGCCTCTGCATGGTCTCTATTGTTCTTGCTCCCTCATTCTACTTTATTGTAAACTATGATTAAGCAGTGTGTGTTAACACTCTGGAGTGTGTGTGACTGCCTGGTACAGCACATCAATGAGCAGTTTGTGGGAGGACCATCTGAAAGCAGAAGGGTGAGGGGTCGAGGGCCAGAGCCTGCTGAAGCCTCCATTAGTGCATGTGTCCACATTTTCAGTTTGGACTGGCCCTCACTCACCCGTACCTTTCTCAATTTTTTTCTACAGAGATCAAAACCACCTGGATCACAACCAGAACTCTTCCCGAGGTAAGATGAATAAACCTGTGTGTCTCTCTCTCAGGTTGTAAAAATGTCTAAATGGCACTCATGTTGTCTTCTGCAGAAACTAATGATATTTTTGAAGTATATCATGAAGCCATTAAATGAGAGAACAACAGATGAGGGCAGTGATCTAAATGGCACAGAATTGCTTTCCTTCCATTAGAGTTTGAAGTGCAGTTTAGTACTGAAACCATTTCAGTTATGGCCATTTGGGAAACCATGACTATCACCCCCACTATCGCTCTCACTTCAGGTGAACAGTTTGCTAGATGATGCTTGTACAGTTCGAAACGCAGTTCTCATTTCTCTCGTTATAACCTTCGCCGTAAGGCTCAGAGATGTTATTTTCTGATAGTTTTTTTTTCACTCCGTCTGTCTTTTTCTCCTCCTACAACATCTATTTCCCTTCCTTCCTTTTTTACTTAAGGGGTACCAACCCATTTGCCACAGTTAAGCTGAGGCCCACGTCCACCAATGACAGATCGGCCCCACATCTGTATCGATGATGACATCTGTACCCTGAAACAAGCGCTTTTGTCAAGCTTTACGTTTCATTCTTGACCTTGGAAAAAGGAGAAAATAAGTATGTCTGGTCCAGTGTCAGTAAGCAGACCGTCAGTGGACCTGGTGTTTGTCATACACACTGATTGACATATTGTCCTTGTGCATAGATGCACACAAGGTTGGAGAAAGAGGACAAAAAAAATGTATTAATATTGTATAATTCTTGGAGTCCCACAAGGACTCTAGATGTATATTATTTAGATCTTGGTAAACTAACAATTTTGTTGTTGATTTTTTAATAATTGGCTCTGTTCTTGTGATTTGTAAGATAGTAAAAAATGAATCACTGTGATACAAACGTGTTTATGTAACATGAACTTACATGTTTATTGATCTTAGCTGGTTCTAAATCCTTATTACTGCTCTGACATGTTTGATTTATTAGTACTGTAATTCTGACAACAGATGATATGTAAATGACTCATTACTGTATATTATTGTCCATTTGGAAATAAATGCCTATTGTCTATGATGTGTTTATAGTGTAAATGTACAGCCCAGTCACTGAGAAAAATGTTGGCATTGTACGTTTCTGCAAACCACGGATACAACTTTATTTTCAACAATGCTTCAGCTAATGTGTGGTTAGGCTTTGACACAAAAACCACTTGAGTGTAATTAGGAAAATGTTTTGGCTTGAAATACCCACTGTTTGTGGCACTATCATAGCTAAAAAAAAGGCAAAGGGTTGCCAAAAAAGATCAATTATGTTGCTCAAAAATGCTTGAAAAGCAGCAGCAACACCCAAGTTTGGTGCCTAAAAAGATGCTGGAAATACAGCTCAGGGTCACTAAAAAAATACCCATTTCTGGTGCTTAAAAAGTTGCTGGAAAAACAGTGACAGGTCACTAAACAACATATAATTTTGGTGGCTAAAAAGACTCTGGAACAACATCAGCTCGTTATAAAACACCCAATTTTGGAGACTAAAAAAATGCTGAAAAAACAGTGACAGGTCACTAAACAACATCCAACTTTGGTGCCTAAAAAGGCGCTGGAAAAAACAACTTCAGGTGGCTATAAACACCCAATTTTGGTGCCTAAAAAGATACTGGAAAAACAGCATCAGGTCACTAAATACACCAGTTTGGTGCCTAAACAGTGGGTTGTAAAATAGTGACAGGTTGCTATAAAACAACCAATTTGGTGCCTAAAAAGGCCCGGGAAAAACAGCATCAGGTCACTAAATACACCTGTTTGGTGCCTAAAAAGTGTCTTGTAAAACAGAGGCAGTTTGTTATAAAACAGACAATTTTGGTGCCTAAAAGGGCACTGGAAAAACATTGACAGGTTGCTATAAAACACCCAATTTTGGTGCCTAAAAAGATACTGGAAAAACAGCTTCAAGTCACTATATACACCTGTTTGGTGCCCAGACAGTGGGTTGTAAAAAAATGACAGGTTGCTATAAAACAGACAGTTTCAGTGTCTAAAGAAACAGTGAAAAAGACAGTGAAGGCTCACAAAACAAATTGTTTTTCTTTGTTGCTTTGTTTGTTGGTCTTAAACAGTGATCTGCAGCTTGGCAGGTGTCTTGCCAAGTTGACATGTCATCCACCCTTCCCCCCACTTCCCGATGACAAAGTCAGGTCACATACTACATTACATTAGAAAGGCTGATATGAAACGTATTCGACATGTAACATACAATGCCAACATTTTCTTCTGGCGACTGGGCTGACAGTTGATGTTAGGAACCAGTGCTGAGGGATGAATCTTATGTTTTTATTGCCATTGTAAAGCATTTTGACCATTTTTCTCTACATGCTCCACTGAATTAAGTCCATTAATAAATATTAATTGCATGACTAATTTACTTTAGAAAATGGCTTGTAAAAAAGAGATGTAACCTCTGGCAGATCTGAAATATCTTGTAAAAATAGGATAAAAAGTCTGAGCCAGAAATGTGATGAAAAATGCAATGTGTTCATGGATAATTTAATACTATCTTTATAATTACATATACTAATGTGTTTCATTTCATCAGCAGGTGGCATTTTTCACTGATGGCATAATGATAATACAGATCTATAATATTATTTGACAGGATAAAAATGTGAGTTATTAAATAATAAAAAAATATTGGTATTACATCACCAGTTTAAGCTCCTGATCATTTGATTTCAAATATTTAGTACTGCTCTAAACATTCACAACTAAATAAAGAACTAAGTTAAAGTTAGTTTAAAAGAAAAACTCATTCAGTAGTTGTTTATCGTATGAATGACGCTGACCTCAGCTGTCTGCTGGGACCAGCACTGAGCTTCTCTGAGCTCCACTAAACTGCTCTTCTTTTAAGTGATAGCCTCTAAGCTTCAGATCTGTGTTTATTTGCTCAGGCAGTAAAATGGCCTACTAAAGAAGATCAGGATTCCCGCGTCGCCTGTTTGGGTCCTCCGCTGGGGATACTTAACCCAAATTGAACCTCAGTGTGAATCCAATTCTGCTAATGGCTTGACAGCATGGCTCTGCTAAACTAGCACAGCTCTTCTGAATAAAGACTCTTTGCCAAGTGGAATAATGTGGCCTCCGCCTCCTTTTTTCTCTTTGAGCGAAGTTGCATTCATAATGTGGAACAGGCTAAAGGAAGATGCTCATCAGTGATCTGTAATGTGGGCAGTTTCTTTTTCTCCTTTCACCACTTAAGCTCAGCATACACTGTACAATTTGAGCCTGTTTCTGACCTGATTTTTGAGCAGCGTGATTCATTTTAGAGTCGGACTGAATTTCAGCTTTGTCTAGCATCGTTTGCCGCGCAGTATACAGCGGGGAGTGAAGACTGATCATGGATTGAACTGCTCCTGACTGGCCAGCAGATGTTCAGATAAATTTCTTACATGTCAGAAGTTTTGGTCAGTTGTTGTCTCGCACAGTTGAAGCAGAGCCAGAGGTTGATTCCCCAAGATCAGCGCCTGTTTTCTTTTTCTGGTGTCTGAATGAGGTGGCAAACAGTATCTGAAAGTGCAATTGCAACATAACGCTTCATGTAGATGGAAAATATGGAGGGCAGGTTGGTCAAGCAGTCTCTCTATAAGGCAATGGAACAAGATTTTGGTATCAGATGTGTTCTGTTTCCATTTGTAGTTCAAGCATTATTGAGTAATCACATTAAAATGGTACGTACACAGTCCATGTGGAGAGGCGGAATGCAGTGGCTGAAATGCAATCAACTATCACCTGAAAACAAGTTAGCTTTATATTTGCTTCTAAAAATTTTTTATCAGCATTCATATGCAGCTATCTATTCATATAGATTACCCGAAATAACCGGCACACAAAAGAGGAAGTACTGGCTGCCACACCGTATCAGCCCAAAATATTGGTCCTCGCCCTCAGAGGCTTTGTCGTCGTCAAACGAAAGCAAACTGTAGCAACAGCATATGTGCCTCTTTGATGTTTTTCCTCCTCTACTCACGACCGATATGAACAAGAGAAATGTAGGAATGCAGGATAGATACAGTGATTTTCAGCTGCCTGGTAATACTTTTTGTTTCGATACCCCTGCTAGCACATAAACTTCTATGCAGATGATATATTCCGACAGTAGGAGTTGGTATTAGACGACAACGTACAATTTCAACCTGTTTTAGAAATGATGTTGAATTCCAACTCCTACTGTATGAGTAAATTGTCTGCAATGTAAAGCAAATGTTTAGGATTTATGTGCTCACACTGTACATGTAAACTATACAAGGGCTCAGGTAGAAGTTTGTTTGCTTGTCAGAACAAAAAATAGCGTGGAGAATTTGGGAAGAGTCAAGCACAGAGAATACTATCTGAGTCTTCCCACATTCTCCATGCTGAGTACGAGCTTTTACCTTTGGGCAGACGATACAAGATGCCCGAATTTTAACTTAACTGTTTTAAAAATTCATTAATGTCGCTTGATGCTTAGGGGTTGTGTTTTCCTTATGGTGCTCTGTTGAGTGCTGTAGCTATGTGCAATACATGAGTGGCTGATGTGCAATACTGTTATTAGTAGTATGTGTTTTCATGGTGTATGCTTAATTTCTTCAGGACTATTATTGTAAGGCAGCAATACTTGTGCACAGGGCGTAAAATTAAAATTTTACCTCATCTGCCATTGGCTAGTGACCTCCAAAAATTTACCGGCCAAACATATTTTTCACCAGCCAAATAAAAAAATTGTGCCTTATTTGACGAAAAATAATTACCATACGTTTTTAGTATGAAAATCCAACTTTAGGAAAATCCAACCCTGTCCTCTGTGTTTCTTTGGCGTGCTTGCAGCAAAGGCTGCAGTAGTAGTATCACGATACCACAGCAAACGTGAGGCAGATGTGCCTTTTGTCATTTATAAAATGATAAATCACTTTTCTATAATACATCAATGATATTTCAATGGAATAAATTACTTATTGACTTATTCATACTTCAAAAACAGCATCAATAAGTGATTAACATAGGGGGGATCAAAATAAAATAAAAATCGACCAACCACCCTCCTCCCCTGCCAGTCCCTCCATAAGTAAAGAACAGTCCCTAAAGTGCGGTGAGGTTTGTGGAAATGTGAACAGCTCGTTTCTCCTCTGACACGTCACATACCTGTGTGCTGCCACGGCTCGGTTGTCCAGGTACAACTGGGCAGTCATGACACCAACGAAAGAGGAAATTACTGGACCTGGAGTCAGACTTAGTCGGAGACGGCCGGTAAGCCGTTATCTTGCGCCGCAGAGCACTATGAGCCTCCGCCGTGTTCCTGTCTGTGACCTCCGTTCAACCCACAACCGCCAGGATTGGCATTTCCTTTCTACTGCTGGTTGAAACGTGATAATATGGGCACCCCAGCGCCCACTCCACTAACTTGATGTGGAAATGAGCGGTTTTTTGTTGTTGTTGTTGTTTTGTTTTTTTTCAGAGGGCGCTTGTGCGCCCTCACATAGATTGCGCCCTGGGCGGTCGCCCACATTGCCCATAGCAAAAACCGTCCCTGGACACAGCTGGCAGAAATGGTCGAAGCACATAAAAAACGCACATGCAATTCAAAATTTTCCATCAGCCACTGGCGGGTGTGTGTTTTTGTTTTACACGCCAAACTCATTTTTTACCCACCATTGGCGCTTGGCGGGTATTAATTTTACGCCCTGCTTGTGCAGCTTCTGATTACATGACAAATTTCCCCACGGGGACAATAAAGTATATCGTATTGTATTGTTGATCCACGTTTCAACCCTCACCTATGGTCACGAGCTCTGGGTAGTGACCGAAAGAACAAGATCGTGAATACAAGCGGCCGAAATGAGTTTCCTCCGCAGGGTGGCTGGGCTCAGCCTTAGAGATAGGGTGAGGAGCTCGGACATCCAGGAGGGACTCGGACTAGAGCTGCTGCTCCTCCACATCGAGAGGAGCCAGTTGAGGTGGTTCGGGCATCTGGTAAGGATGCCTTCCGGACACCTCCCTTGGGAGGTGTTTCGGGCATGTCCAACTGGGGGGAGACCTCGGGGCCGCCCAGGGACGGTTTTTGCAATGGGCAATGTGGGCGACCGCCCAGGACGCAATCTATGTGAGGGCGCGCTCCAAAAAAAAAAACAAAAAAAACTCGCCAGTTTTCTAGACTACCGCTCATTTCCACGTCAAGTTAGTGGAGTGGGTGCTGGGGTGCCCATATTATCACGTTTCAACCAGCAGCAGAAAGGAAAGGCGAATCCTGGCGGTTGTGGGTTGAACGGGGGTCACAGACAGGAATATGGCGGAGGCTGATAGTGCTCTGCGGAGCAAGATAACTGCTTACCGGCGTCAGAGAAGTCCGACTCCAGGTCCAATTTCCTCTTTCGTTGGTGTCATGACTGCCCAGTAGTACCTGGACAACTGAGTCATGGCGGCACACAGGTATGTGGCGTAACAGAGGAGAGACGAGCCGTTCACATTTCTCTCTTTGTGGCAGGTAACGGCCCACAAACCTCACCGCACTTTAGGGACTGTTCTTTACTTATGAAGGGACTGTTCTTTACTTGTCAGGGGAGGAGGGTGGCTGGTTGATTTTTATTTTATTTATTTATTTTATTTTGATCCCCCCTATGTTAATCACTTATTGATGCTGTTTTTGAAGTATGAATAAGTTAATAAGTAATTTATTCCATTGAAATATCATTGATGTATTATAGAAAAGTGATTTATCTTTTTATAAATGACAAAAGGCACATCTGCCTCATTTTTACCATGGTATCGTGATACTACTCAGAACCGTGATACTTTCTACCCCTGCGACCCGGACCCTGATAAGCGGAGGACAAAGAGTACGAGTATGAGTATTGCATTGTATCGTACCGTATCACATCGTATTGTATCATACCATATCATATGGTAGCTTATCGTATCGTATCCAATCTTACCGTATTGTATTGTACCGTATCCTACCATATTGTAGCTAATCGTATCGTATCGTGTCATGTCATGTTGTATTATAACACGTCGTACTGTACCGTATTGTATCATATCGTATCACAATATGACCATGCAGTTGAAGAGCAGCAGCTATTTCCTGCCAACATTTCTCTTGTTCATATCAACCGTGATAGGAGGAGGAATCGTATGCCACAGCTCAACCAACCTGGCCTCCAAATTTTCCCTCCACCTGATGCGTTGTGTTGCCATGACACTGTCACAGGCACAGTAAAAAAAACAAATGGCACATATTTTGGGGAATTAATTTGTGGCTTTGACAAAAGCTGACCAAAAGTCCTGACATGTCAGAAATGAATCCGACCATCCAGTGGCCGCTCGGTTGCAGTTGATTGGGCCGTGATCGGTCCTCGCTCCACTCTGTACACTTCACGGCAAATGACCCCCAATTAAGTGGAAATTCGGTCCGACCTTCAGATCAGTCATGAGGTTCAAAATTCGGGTCAGAAACAGGCTCAAATCTCAGTGTGTGACCAGCCTTTAAATGACACAGTCAGTGCTAATGAATACTAACAAATGACACTGTAGGGTAATTTTGACCTTCTTAAAGCACACCCCTTTATGCATTATTAGGTTGCTGTCAAGATATGCTTCCCTCGTACTGCTTAATAAAAGTGACAGGGAAATAGAGGAAGACAGGAGAGAAGGAGAGCTGTATGTAGAATCAGATAAGAGCATCACATCAAAGGACGGAATTAACAGAGGAGTCTTAGTGAGTCAGTGTTCTCGAGGCTTTGTTTTTTTTCTCATTTAATTTTATTCTTTCACAGCTTGACCTCTTTCTTCTTTTGGTATGTTTTACAACAGCTCATTACCAGAGGAGAAAGGGATGGGTAGATAGATAGATGGATGGGGTGATGGCGTGGGAGGGAGAGAGGGGAGCGAATGCAGGGAGGGAACAGTGCCAGGAGTGAAATCGACGGAGAGAAGTGAAGAACAGAAAAAAGGGAGAAAGAAAGTCGGAAAGTGAGAGGAAGTGTTGACGAAGGAAATGAAGAGATAAGAAAGTCAGAAATACAGAAGGACATTAAGGTCTTTCTCATATAACCTCTATTTTCTTTAAATATCTACTTTATGCTTTAAAATGTGAGGTTTATT